AATCCTCATAAAATTCAAGTTCGAAAGGGTCTCAAATGTTCCCAGGAGTTAGACTCTTCACGAATCACTCTACAGTTAAACAGACACCTACACAGTTAGGTATCATTCGTTTTATATAAAATACAATTTCATTCTTTAACGTATCACGAATGAAGAATTGTTTATCTTTTATTTGTTATTCGAAACTTTCATCTACATAAGAATTTCTCCCATCTCCAACAAGAGTATCAACGAAAAGAACAAGCTTACAAATATGGGGCGGGTGGGGTAAAAGCAGCTGAAGTTTTGGAGCGAAAAGACATTTGGCAGCCCTTTGGTCATGTAAACTTACTGCATCTAACCATAGTAACGATCGATTTTTATTGCTCATGAACAATGGAGAGAAACGAAAATTACAGTTCGGACACGGCTCGCCTCGTCGTTCCGGGGCGAAACATTAACTTTACAGTTAAACTGCGCACGTGTCCTCGAAAGTACCAATAAAGTGATACGTGTATTCGCGGACACGGTATACATATGCCTGCGTAACCCGTTGATGCGTGACACTTTGAAAGCGTGACGTTTTGCAAAACGAACGTCTCGAGCCGTATACCTAGAAACGTTCGCGTACCGATTACAGCGGAATTATCGTACGAAGTATCGTTATTGAAAGTGTGTACAACGGATCCGTTATTCGAGTTAATAGGCAGACGCAACCATTCGGGTAACAGAATGTCAGCATAATGGAGCACTTATCTCATATAGATCATTTTGAGTTTCAGGAAATTAAAGTAAATTCTAACAGAAGAAATTAAGAAGTAGTGCACACGAATCTGAAATAGAATGAAATGAGTACATATATCAGATAGAGAAATGCAAAATAGTATCTTCAAGATTTTGAATGCGGGACATTTTGGATGATAGTTATGGTAGCTTCTTCAATTATTTAATGGTATATCTCAATTTTTGTTTTATGTTGTGTATTCAATAATCACCTACTAATACAATTACTGTAGTATTTTCTAATCAACAGAGTGTTCTCTTTTTTTGCTTAATATTTTCAAGTACAAAGTAAACGTATTTATCTAGTTTTGTTGATAGACACACCCAGAATATCCATTCATTCACTCCCAAACCAATACAGAGTTTTATTATTCTAGTATTCCTTATTTAGTTTTGAGTAGCTTTATGTACAAATTTTAATTCAAATTAAACATAACATTAAACTTTGATGTACGAAGGCGTCGAAGACGATCGATCATTTTTACATTCATTACTTTCATCATTAGATAGATTCAATGATTTTTCTGAAATGTAATTTATCTTTCAAATTCGAGGTTGAAATGTAAATATAATATATTCCATCAATTGTGATAAGTAGACTGCAGATCTTTATGCATTTATAGAAAATTTGAATGTGCAAGAAACTACAAAATGCAAACAATATGAAAGAATATAAAAAAGATCGAAAGTAAAGTTCATGCTATAATATTTGGTGAATAAAATAAATTCCTATTTAGGTTCAATTTTTGTGGGGACGTTCGCAAAGATTTTATTTTGCATAAAGATCCGCAGTCTAGTGATAAGTAATATCCACTTTCAAAATAATATATAACTTCTTTAATACGTCTGGCTTGTTATTTCGATCCAAAGAAATAAATCAGAAATTATAACGATTGAAATATAAATAATAATAGTAATATTACAGTTGCAGCCTAGTTAGTCTTGCTCCTATTGTAAAGGATCATAAACAGAACGGTATTGCTCATTAAAGTTAATTAAGCATACAAATTTTATCTTTCTTAATTCCTTTATCTTGATCAAAGACATATCTACATATATACAAACATGCATCAAAACATACCCACCATATTGAGGAAGTCATCAATTATCTTGTAATTTTCTTTCTTCCAAAAGACTCTTGTTGCTTACAAGAGAAAATTCGTATCATTCATTTTCTATTAACACATCAGCATCTCGTCTAATAACGAAGACGTTCTCTTCGAGTTCTTCTTCTTACATGTTTCATTGTGAGAAATCTGGAACGAAGAACCACTCCGAGTTCATTATAATTTCCGTCTTCAAATACGTCCGGCTGATTTTGTTCCCAATAGCATTCAGCCACGAGTGTCCCCTCGACCACGAGGAGTTAGAAAACATTTTGTATTCGAGCGAGGTGAGAGTTAATCAGTGTTTTATCGAGGTTAATGACATTGCGGTCGATCACCAAGCGTGGCCGCATACACCGATATTGAGCTTAATGACCATTTCCCGGCGCTCAATGTCAACTGCTCGATGTCGGTGCCTCCATTTGCATGAACCACGGGTGAGAAAATCGTTGTTGGTACGATAGCATACAAATCCGACAACAACGGATTCACCATAGAAGCCACATCTTCTATTCGTTTGTTTCGAATATGTGAAACAGCGATGACCTGTACAACACGTGTTCCTTTAAATTCTATAGTTTACATTAGTTTACAACGTTTACATTCACACGGGATCTCTAAATGCAAACGTTAACTCTTTTCGTTGGGACGACGAATGTAACTCGTCGTGAACTCCGTGTGCCAAAATGCATAATCATGAGCTGTAGCAAGAAGTTTGCACAGTTGTTGGCAAGAAGTTTAACTAGACAGAATTCAAAAAAGAATAGTGCGAACGTGATCCTTTCATAGATGGATTTTGAACATGGTTTTAGGTCGAGTGAACTAATAATTTTTCATAACTATCTACTGCATGAATTTGTTTTATATTTCATTATAAAAGTTATCTTTTGATTATTTGTATTTGGTTGTTCCTTGGCAAAATGAATAGGGCTTGGATTTTGAACAAATTATAGAGATACGAATGTATGAATATATTAATATGTATATATCTTACATAGTTATATAATTATTATTATATATAGTATTAATTTGTTGTATATGTATTTGTATATATACTTATATACTACTATAACATATAATATATACATACTACATAATGACGTTTTTAATATATTCATATCATTGCAATCGCATATAAACACTATACCTTCATGGTACAGTAAATATGCATGACAATAATAATGTTTTATAGTCAAAAATTAAAATATTATTACTATTATTATATTCATATGTTGTCATATAAAGAATAACCTGTCCAATGGTGAGATACAGCACATGACTGCCTTTAAACCTAATTTCAGAAAACTGCATGTTCCTTCATGTAACCAACAGGCTCAAAAGAATGAATTGCGTATCTAAAATTAATCCAAATTAGGATTTCGTTGTAGTTAAAAGAAGATTTGGTTCTTTATCAGAGATTTAAATGGTAGATATTAAGAGTTTGTAATTATTTTGTAATGTTGAAATTTAAGTAATGACATTTTGTCTAGCCTCCGTTGGAATTAATTCAGTCGTCACGTGTTCGATACATACCAAGCTAAATATTCAAATGTCAGGAGTCTTTTTTCCCATAATCTTTCTCTATGTAATAATTGCCCTTTCCTAGCGTCCAATGTCAATTCCACGCCTGTACGGCATGACTGCATAATTTTAATCTGTGCAAAGCGTTATAAATAGATAAAGAAACACCGATGATCGAGAGACAGTAACACTCTAGAATTCTAGATCTATAGATCACGATACGTCACGGGGAGCGTAGAAGTACATGGCACTGATGGCAACCCATCCATCAGAAGGAACGAAATCGGTTTCTTTACCAATCTTGGATAAGAGCAAACATCTACTATAAACTAGTGCTATATTTCACTAAGAGCTTTTAACGAGCGTTTAATTAAATACTATTTCCGTACGAAGAAATTTGCATTCGTAATAAATCAGGAGTCTTTAAATAATGAGAAAAATAAATATATGTATCATTAGAAAAATTGGAACTAGAAAATGTTCATTTTTAAGAATATGATCAGAAGCATACCTCTTGTATCGCAAGAGAATGGATTCTTCTATAAAGTTTCTCACGTTCTGGAAACCTCAGTGTAACGTCCAGATCTCGGCCCAATTGAATATTTATAGGCAGAAAGTTTTATTAAATTATATAACTATTAACTACTATCTATTTACTTCTATAACATTCATGTACATTATGGAATGCATATTTGCATGACACGTGAGGTAAGTGGTCAAGATGGATCAATAAAGTATTCAAACTCTATTATTTAATTATTATGTTATTGAAAACAATTGTGTGGGTACAACTATATACAAAAATCAATATTAAAACTATTCAACGGTCAGCTTCAGTTGATTGATTGGGTGATCGATCGTAAACGGAGTGCGGACGTGTGTCAGCATTTGGAGTTGGAATTTTTTGAGAATAAATAGCTTTATTTAAGTATATCAAAAACAATCTTAAAGTGAATCTCGCGAAAATAGAAATTTTGAGTAATTTTTTATTCTAGACTGACAACAATCCCAAGCAGTATTTCTCATGTTGCTACAAGCTGGACATAATTGGCTTAAAGTACTTTAAAAGCCACTCCAAATCTCTTGACAGTAATGTAATATAAAATATTTGGATTAAGTTGAAAATAAAAGATGAATATGACTCATTAAAGTCTTGCAAAAGGACGATTTTAACCAACAGATAAATTGTACATATAATTTGTTTTACTTTACTGAATATTTATATAGAATGAATAGAAAAAACTAGAATAAATAAATATACTATAAATATAATTTACTGAAACATTATATACTTGTATACGAGTTTCAATCGTTTAATACAATTTTCATGTTCTACTCCAAAAAATCGATCGAAGCACCAGGTCTACGATTTTAAATGACAATCACTGCACTTTTTGAAGCATAGCTCGGGGGACTCAATTTTTCAAGAAGATGGACTTGCACCACTCTCGCGACGAACGGTTCAATTATTACAAATCGATTCGACCAGTGATTGCTACAAGATTGCACGAAACGCTTCTATTTACATAGACAGAGACGGTCACATCTTATGGAGAGAGGGAGGGAGAAGGAGCAGGTAGGAATCGAGGCTGTCGGGTGAAGGCGCAACGAGTGGCACGTTCAGTCGTCCGGACCCGCTCGGTCGGTCTAAACAGACGGTACCTTGATCGTACTCTCCCGCGATTGCAGTGGCTCTGTCGGGTCTTCGATTGTGCACCGTGGAAACATTCCTCTTAACAGTGCATTCTTCCGGGAAACGCGACGGTATCAGCAGGAGGATACGCCGCCAGATACAAGACCGATAATGATTCAGTGGGATCACTGTTAAATGCACCGATTTATCACGAGGACAGGTATTAGGTGAGCTAGAAGAATTCATTTACACTTATCGGACCGACACGTCCCGTAACGAGCTGTCCCGCGATAATACGAAATATCCCGCTGAATGGCACGAGCTCCGTTTCTCGCGGATCAATTCGTGAAAAGATATTTACGTTTCTTTCGCTGATTGGCGTTCGTCGCGATAACGATAAGGAAACAGTTTTGTTGAGATTTGGAAAGCTGGGAAAATATTTTGTAACCCATTCTTTACGCGTTTTTTCCTCTGGCAGAAATGTTGTGGGAAATTTAATATTTTATCATTTGAAGATTCGTGTCATGTCGCAGGTATAGTTACGTTATCGAAATTGGCAAAATTTTAGCGAAATAATGGAAAAGAATTAAAATTGACTTGGAGTAATTTAATTGTGACTTTTACTCGATTGATCGGTTAAATTTGTAGTAGCCTCTGTTAGTTTAGTTTATTATAAAGTATTTCATTTGACGGGTCAAATTGTTATTTAGAGAGCGATGAATGAAGAGTTATTTATCTTTTATTCGTTAAAAATGGTCATATGCATCTCTCATGCTGGATAGTTATAAGCATGTTATTGATTATTCTAGGCCTCTCGTAGTTTAGCTCATTTTGGAGTATTCAATTTTAAGTCATATAATCGCTATTTAAAGAGCAATCGACAAAAACATATTTATTTTTTATTCGTTCTAAAATCTACAGATATAAGATCGTTATATTCATCCTTGGATAGGTACACATATGATACTGGGTATCCAAATAACTTGACTCTGTCTCTTATCATTACTCAAACAACTTAACGTCACACCAACTGGGCATAAATGATTAGAGTTAAATAATGGGTTCTAAGAATTTTATTTTTAATAAGTATACGATATTAATAATATTAAACGTACATGTATATAATATTAATATAAATATATACAAATATATTATATATATATCGAATATACTTCATACCCTTTGTATTCTATTGAAAAACAAAATCCTAAAGGCTTTTTTACAAAACTCTTTGCAATATCAGTTACAATAAACGTTTCGATCTTCGGTGGAATTCCGACGTGACACTGTGCCTTATTTTTCCTCCTATTTTAACCGATAGCTTACAAACAATTCAAGAATATGTCAATGATGCAGAAACAATTGTATAATCTATCAAATTATATGTGCACATCAAAATTTTATCTTATCAATTGAAAAAGTTAACAAATAACGACCGTACGACGTATTATTGCAAATAATTATCGATATCGATATCGTGGCTCGGAACGTTTATAATTTCATCTATGTATTTGGCCCGCGCGATGTGCATTGTTGCTTCACGCACGTGTTAAAATCTCATAGGAATCTCATTCTCCGACTTGAACTCTGTGAATCGCCGCAGAGTTCCCTCATCCATGCTGGATCTCACAAAAGGGAAACCATGGGAAGAGCCGCGTAATCATATTATTCATAATTAACGAGACCGCTTTACGACGGTTCGACGAAGCCACTTTTAACGATGTGAACGGTGCATTACCACGGATTCGAATTCGGCGATACCGGGAATTTAGTTACGAGCCGCGTTCAGCTGATCTTCCGGAAGCTCGCCGCGTATTTTTCCTCGTTTCGTTCTCTCTCTCCCCTTCGCTGGTGTAGTATTATCCGAAGTTGAAAACGCGCAACATTCGAAACAATTTGCGTGACAAGCTATTTCTGAAAGTAGTAAACAATTACATGCATTTTGAAGTTCCTTCGCGACGCACGAATGCTCGAGATTGCGTAACAAATTACTGAGAATCGACGACGGTTTTGCAGCGAATCGAATTTTTATTTTTTTTTTTATAACGAAGAATAATTTTGCGTTGTTTAAAATTTTATGGAAAATTGTAGAATTAATTTTAATTTATTCTACTTGTGGTATGAAGCTACGTGGACCACAATTGCTAGAATTAAATCTTTCCATCATTCTTTGTGAGTCATTGGATATTTTCAAGAGAGAAGCGATCGTGTAACTCTTCACATTGTATTATGAAAATATTAACATAAAAGAGAATTATCGACGAAGCAGAGGCGCGAGACTTAATTCTGAGAATGCAATCTGATCTCATCGTTATGATTAATCCTTCATTTCAACAAATACGGGATTATGCTTGCTCCAAAGGAGGATAAATTTAGAACAACTTTATACGGTGACATTGAATTCGAATTAAGGTGATTTAATTGTGCCTTGATTAGTAGTACTTCCGAAACGTCCAGGAAAACCTTCAGCTTCATTCGTGTATAGCATCATGACAATCTTATTCTCCTATCGCAAATAATTTCAACAGTGAATTATTTATGACAATTGGAGGACAAAAAAGTATTATTATATAAAGTATTAAGTATAATACAGAATTATCAAAATGATAAAATAAAAGAGGAGTTTCCAGCTGTGGAATTATTATATTTAATTTTTTACATCGCTCTAGAAGTGATGTGATTTTAAATTAATCAAACTTTCAAGCAAATTTATATTACGTCTTGGAAAGTTACCGTAGAGAGATGAATGATACAATTTCTATTCTAACAATAAGTATCAACAAAATGAATCCTATACCTGTGTCGACCTTGCTCTTTCATATTTACACATAGACAAGTGTTTATCTTCCTACAAGAAAATCCCGAATGTGATTTTGAAACATAACTCGACAACCATCTGGAATTAATAACAAAGCAAATATGTATATTTGCATAATATCAATTTAAAAAATTCATCATGAATTGGGTACAGAAAATGAACTGGTTACAGAAAATGTGCAAGTCTTGAAGTGTAATATGATCTTAACGAGCTCCATGCAATATGTTATCGTATTACTTAACAAATTATCTTATCTTAATTTAATAAGATTATATTATATTTTATTGACCATTAGTTGAATAAATTTATAAGTGGCGAACGTTTTCAATTAATATCGCGTGCTTTCTTAAAATATTAAATTTCTGTTACGTTAATAGCAAAAATCCGATTCACCGGACATAGCAAGAAATTCCACTTTAATTGGCGGACGCAGGTTGTTTTAGACTTCATAAATCATTGTAATCTTTTCTCGTTGGAAGGGTTGTAATTACTGTTGTGGAATCAATAACGAATAAATTTACCCAACTGTGAGGTAATTAAGAGGTTTGCTGAAAAGCGATACCGAACCGCAAATCTATTATATCTTTACGACTACGTGTTTCACCGGTTTAACGATTTTCAAGGACAACGACGAATAAGAATAGATACTTTGCTTAAAAATGGTGAGCTGCATGCACGATCGACGATGCACTTCACGCGTAATATGCTTACACAGCAGCGTTTCTCAAACGTTTTTAGTCGTGGAACGCTTTTTATCTCGTAATATACGTGCAGAACACTATGATTATTTTGTGGCTATTCGATTTTGAAAATAAGAAACATGATTAATATTCGACTACATAGTAGATTTGCAAACAAAATCGTTATGTACAAGTTATAAAATGAATTAAAAATTAAAATTTTTCTACATTGAAACTGATTTTATTTAGTTATATATAATGATATTGTTCGTGAAATTAATATATATTTAAATACCTATTAATTAAGTTTCTCATATGCTTTTTCTTATAATACACGTGGATATATGAATGTAAGATTACATTAAATATTAAACGAATTTATAATTCAAAGACATAGGAAAATCAATACCTTCAAAATGCAATTTCATTTTTTCGTTTCAAAAAATAATTATTTCTAATGTACTAGTATTCTTAGAAAAAATTCATTTGGATCATACATTCATTTAATACTAATATATATAAATTTCGATGGAAAAAAACTTACACTTAAACGTTGTTATAAATATCCATGATAAGACAGTTGTGCAAAGAATTTTCTAAAACACTTACCCATAAGAGGATGAAGAAAAAAAAAAGACGTAAATACATGTTCTATATTTTATTTCATTATTAATTGATTGTTAACTACGATTTCGTATTTATTAACCATAATACTGATCCATGGAACAGAGTTTGGAAAACGTTGTTACACGTAGTTAATCGAGAATAACTCGCCACTTACAAAGTTACCAGAAAGCTATCAAGATTGCAGCAAACGAGCGAGATGTAATTATAAGGAATTTAATCAACTAGCAGTGAGACGATTGATGAGCACCGCGCGAGTGATTCGTCTTAGTCAGCGAGTTCCGGAGGTTCATAAATTGATTCGTCCACGTGAAATTATTCGAAGGACCGTGTGTAGCTACTGTTAAAGCAGTCCACCTTTTTTCTCCAACCGCGGCAACCTGGCCTCTGCGAAGGGGAGACTGTAAATCCAAACTCTCCGTAGTGTTACATTCCTAAGATGATTCAGGTGCGCCTCGCGGTTCCCCGTGGTTCGTCGTCGAGACATCTCGATAGAAGTCGATGGTTTTGCTTGTTAACGAGTCCTCACCGAGCCGTTTGTTTCCTAGTAGCTCGCGGACAAAATTAGCCGCATGTTGATCTTAGAATCACGATACGCGAGGTACATGTGCTCAATTTCTCCCGTCCAGTATTTACAATTTTGTGTTTCTTCTTAACGTTTATTTAATAAATTTTCCAAGTATCATGCATAACTTAATTCGATGCCTGGTCATATTGAATATGTACTGAAATGAATTAATTCCAGAAGAATGATTTTCAACTAGTTTTAAACAAACAATAGTAAATATTGCGACTGGTGAAATCGTGATACATGGTTTACGTGTACAATTTTAATATGATATTTCGACTTTGCATGAAGATTCACTGAAAACGAACCATCGAGTTATATTTTGCAAAAAGGATGAATAAGAATAGATACATTCAATAACAATATTGAAATAGCAATAACGAAAGTAAATCTAGCAATGGTTCAAAACGCAAAAGGATCAACACTTGACGCAATATAGAAGATAAATAAACATTAACGATTCTTTAGGATAATTTATTTAACACATTTGCAACCGGCAAATATTTTACGTTCCTGATACAGAGTATTAACGAAAGT